CCTCAGCTGCTCCCAGGAGGCTGCAAGTCCCAGCACTGCTGCCCTGCTGGTGTGCACGCTGGGGGCATACGGATGAGGGGGTGAAGGAGGATGGGAGGGGGCAGGGGTTGCACTGAGGAGCATGGGGCAATGAGGGGATCAGGCTGGGGCTGAGGGGAGTGAGGCTGGAGCAGAGGGAAGATGTGAGGGGAGTTACAATTTGCAGAAGCTGCATTTTCCTTTATTCCCCACTTCTTTGCCTCCTTCCACAACCAGCCTTTCTGCATTACTCCCCCAATTCCCTTCTGTTCCCGGACTCCCTCTCGTACTCCCACCCCACACCCTCTCCTGCCACTAAATGCTCTTCCAGATCCTGCCCTCACCTGATCCTGCATCCCTATCCCACTCACTGGCAGTCCTGTCTATTGAGCTCCTCATTTTTGTTCCTGACCCAAAGCTTAAGGGGGTCCACAAAATCGAACCACTCTAGAACCCCAGGAAAGTAAATCTGGCCTAGGGGAAGCCCTGAACCTCAGTCCTCCCTCTCCTATGGGAACTGAAGTCCCAAAGAGTGAGGGGTCTCAGTTTGGGGCCACATCAGTGAGAGTTGGTGGTTTTGGGAGGAGTTTTTTGTTTCTCACTTGGTGGTCCCCAACTGATTTTTTTTTTCCTGTGGGTCAGGGGCCACTGACCCAAAAAAGGTTCCCCTCCCCTGCCATAAATCAAGAAAACACTGAAATCTTTTGTGTTGGACATAATGTTTTACTTTATTTAAAATGAAGTTTGATAAACTAACATGAAAGTTAAAATGCTTAATCTGTTTAATAATTTAAACTGTTCTCCCCAGCTGCAGCCTTAGCAAAATGGGTCTGGTGTAATTATGTAATTAACAGTGAGTTTCTATTAATGGGTAGTTGACAGGTTTGGAGAGGGTGAGGTCTCAGGGAAGGGATGGGGTAGATCCTGGCTTGCCATGACACTTAAAGTGATCTTAAGTGTAAGAAGATTGGACATGACTGCTCTAGTTAGAGTTCAGTACCATTATGCTGAGCGAGGAACTCCATAAAAAGACCTGACACTTTGAACTAACTTTCTTGCAACTATCTTTGTTTTTTTTTTAGCTTCAGAAGTTGGTAGAAGAAGAATGTCTGAACAGAGAGCTCGTGCATATGTTGTTTACTGAAGATTAAGTTCGTTCTCTTCTTTAGTCAATCATTTATCTAGTAAGTAGGTACTCGTCTTCAAGCTGATGATTACACTGACTGTCTCCTTTAAATGAAAGCAAAGTCTGAATGGAGATAGGCGGCCAAAATTAATGCCACTGGTACTGCTTGTACAGAGCATGGGAGGAGAATCTTGTAACATTAAGCAAAGTAACTGATTCTTATGCTGAATTAAACTCAAGTGCAACAAACTGGGTATAGCAATCTTTTTTTAATAGGCTGGACACTCTCTATATTGATCAAGGAAGTGAAATGTTTAAGAAACAGGCCAAGTCTGCACAATGTCATTGCACACTCAACAAGTAGATGGACAAAGCTATGTAACTCATTTATTGCAAGAAAATACTTACTTAGGTTAACCCTTAACCTAAACACTTGACTCACCTGTATAAGTAAAGCTCCATGAGAGTTGAGCTACAGCCACGGACAATAGGAGTAAGGGCAGACAGACCATAAATTTTTAACCCAATGGTGATTAAAATTTAATATGCAATAACTATACTTACTGCATTGTACATTCCAATGTCTTTTAATTCTCTGCTTATTGATGCATTTTCTATTTAAAGGAATGTTGTCATAAGGTACAGCAGGCTATTCGTGGGAAATACTGAAACCTTGGCTTTGGAAAGTCATCTTGCTCTAGCAAGGATGCTCCTATGCCAGCTTCCCTTAATCTGCCTCTAACACCTTCCCCACATGGAGATTTTAACTAAAAATGGAAGAATCAGCACTGACTGTCCATCTTGGTATCAACTGCCTCCCCATGAATAACATACAACAGCAATCCTAAGGAAGGGTAGAAGGGAGAACAGCAAAATAGAGACAATGGATTTTGGGAAGGTGGATTTTGGTAAGCTCAGAGAGCTGATGGGTAAGTTCCCATGGGAATCAAGACAGGGGAAAAACTGAGGACAGTTTGCAGTTTTTCAAAGGGACATCTTTTGAAAATCATGGGAGACAAGAGATTTCAGAATACTGGAAAAGGGTAAATTGGGTACTGGATTTATAAAAAGGGAAATAAGAACAACCCAGGAAACTACAGACCAGTTAGTTTAACTTCTGTGCCAGGGAAGATAATGGAGCAAGTAATTAAGGAAATCATCTGTAAACACTTGGAAGGTGGCAAGGTGATAGGGAACAGCCAGCATGGATTTGTAAAGAATAAATCATGTAAAACCAATCTGATAGCTGTCTTTGATAGGATAACGAGTATTGTGGATAAGGGAGAAGTGGTAGATGTGGTATACCTAGACTTTAGTAAGATGTTTGATACGGTCTCCCATGATATTATCAAACTAGGAAAATACAACTTAGATGGGGCTACTATAAGGTGGGTGCATAACTGGCTGGATAACTGTACTGAGAGTAGTTATTAATGGTTCACAATCCTGCTGGAAAGGTATAACAAGTGGGGTTCTGCAGGGGTCTGTTTTGGGAGAGGCTCTATTCAATATCTTCATCAACGATTTAGATATTGGCATAGAAAGTATGCTTATTAAGTTTGCAGATACCACCAAGCTGGGAGGGGTTGCTACTGCTCTAGAGGATAGGGTCATAATTCAAAATGATCTGGACAAATTGGAGAAATGGTCTGAGGTAAACAGGATGAAGTTTAATAAAGACAAATGCAAAGTGCTCCACTTAGGAAGGAACAATCAGTTTCACACATACAGATTGGGAAGAGACTGCCAAGGAATGAGTACGGCAGAAAAGGATCTAGGGGTTATAGTGGACCACAAGCTGAATACGAGTCAGCAGTGTGATGCTGTTGCAAAAAAAGCAAACATGATTCTGGGATGCATTAACAGGTATGTTGTGAGCAAGACACGAGAAGTCATTCTTCCGCTCTACTCTGAGCTGGTTAGGCCTCAGTTGGAATATTGTGTCCAGTTCTGGGCACCACATTTGGAGAAATTGGAGAGGGTCCAGAGAAGAGCAGCAAGAATGATTAAAGGTCTACAGAATATGACCTATGAAGGAAGGCTGAAAGAATTGGGTTTGTTTAGTTTAGAAAAGAGAAGACTGAGGGGGGACATGATAGCTGTTTTCAGGTATCTAAAAGGGTGTCATGAGGAGGAGGGAGAAAACTTGTTCATCTTGGCCTCTGAGGCTAGAACAAGAAGCAATGGGCTTAAACTGCAGCAAGGGAGGTTTAGGTTGGACATTAGGGAAAAGTTCCTGTCAGGGTAGTCAGACACTGGAATAAATTGCCCAAGGAGGTTGTGGAATCCCCATCTCTGGAGATATTTAAGACTAGGTTAGATAAATGTCTAGTAGGGATGGTTTAGACAGTATTTGGTCCTGCAATGGGGGCAGGGGACTGGACTCCATGACCTCTCGAGGTCCCTTCCCGTCCTAGTATTCTATGACATATTCTACGATACATACTGACCTAGGTGCAGGCCTGGGTCTTAATTGACAGCATGACACAGTAACAAACTCCCCCTTCTGAGAGGCAAGGGGTGGTAATTAGCTAGCAGAGGATGACAACCTGATAAGTCAGGAGCGATGTGTAACTTGTTTGTACCTGTGAATAAAAGTGCACCTCAAAGGGTGGTCATCAACTGACAGTGGTGGGGAATGCTAAAATCCAGCACAGTTGGGTGTTAGTTGTGCACCAGCAAGTCTGTTTGCTGACTGTTAATGAATGTCACTTGACAGTAAACCTAGTCGGATACTTTTGACCCTATCTGATTTGTGGTCTCTGGGGGCACTTTTGGGAGTCTGTCAGGTTGGCTAATGCACTAGACTGGGGAGCACATGCATGCACACAGCTGAAAGTTTGTCACTGACAGAGTAGATAATCTGTCAGGAACCTATTGGGACAACCACATGTGACTGACTACACCAAGCAGGTTGCCTACCCATATTCACTTTTCTTACTGCACATCAGGATGGTTTGTCTTTAATAGATTTTACTTAACATTTAGCCAGAGCAGTTTCATTTAGACAGATTCAATACTAAAAAATTAAATTTTGATTGTAAACTTCTGCTATAAACAACTGACTTAACTCTACCATCTGTAAGTCAGTTACAGTTTCCATGATCTCTCTATTGTTCCTGTCTCACTGTGGTAATGCAGTCACTTCACTACTGTTTACAACTGTAGCCTCAGGTTTTGTAAAGAGTGAGCAAGACAAGCTTTTAAAGGGTGTGCACAGACAAAGCTTGATACCAGACAGTATACAGACTTTAAACAGTGACTTTAACAGTTTAGGGGGCAGTTGCTAAATCTTACTAATTTTCTGAAACTGAGGGGCTACGTCTACACTGGCCCCTTTTCCGGAAGGGGCATGCTAATTTTAGCTATCGTAATAGGGAAATCCGTGGGGGATTTAAATATCCCCCGCGGCATTTAAATAAAAATGTCCACCGCTTTTAGAAAAGCCGGAAAAGAGCGTCTACACTGGCCCCGATCCTCCGGAAAAAGCGCCCTTTTCCGGAGGATCTTATTCCTACTTTGAAGGAATAAGATCCTCCCTTTTCTGGAGGATTCCTACTTTGAAGGAATAAGATCCTCCCTTTTCTGGAGGATTCCTACTTTGAAGGAATAAGATCCTCCCTTTTCTGGAGGATTCCTACTTTGAAGGAATAAGATCCTCCCTTTTCTGGAGGATTCCTACTTTGAAGGAATAAGATCCTCCCTTTTCTGGAGGATTCCTACTTTGAAGGAATAAGATCCTCCCTTTTCTGGAGGATTCCTACTTTGAAGGAATAAGATCCTCCAGAAAAGGGCGCTTTTTCCAGAGGATCGGGGCCAGTGTAGACGCTCTTTTCCGGCTTTTCTAAAAGCCGGAAAAAAGCGGCGGACATTTTTATTTAAATGCCGCGGGGGATATTTAAATATCCCCCGCGGATTTCCCTATTGCGATCGCTGAAATTAACATGCCCCTTCCGGAAAAGGGGCCAGTGTAGACGTAGCCAGGAAGAAAAGTCTTTCATGTGGAATAAAGGGAGAACTAAATGAAGCAGTTAAACAGTGGATGGGAAGATGAAATTCAGATGTATCTTAATTTTTCATAAGCTAACTTACCCATTAGTCTAGAAGCCCTTATTAGTAGGAACTTATGATCTAGTGCACAGGCTATAGAAACAGCCCAACTGTCTTTCAGCCTATATCCCTAACTCAAAAGCTGGCTGGTAATATTTGCTGTTCTTATAAACACTTTTCATACAGTTCTTTTGTCTTTCTAAAAGTAAGTATTAGGCTGGCTACTTTCCACAGTAAAAGTCTGTTTGACCTTTCCCAAAGACAGCTCTGTTTCTTCTACAAGATATGAATCCATTAACACTTTAGGCAGGACAAAACTTTGTTACTTTTTATTAAAGGTAGTCTGCACAGCAGTTAGTCTTTCTGAAAAGTAGCATCACAGGCCATGAAGATTAAAACCATTTTCTTCCCTACTTCTAGAGTAGGAATTTTATTCTTTATAACTGACATTCACTTCAATGAACAGGAAGAAAAAGTGTAATCCTTGCCTTTCTTGTACAGTTTGGTTATTACACAGTTGTTTGGTATCCCTGCTGCTTTTTAATTAAGGCTTTAATTGGCATCTGTAGTGGTTGTCACCTTGTTGTAAAGGAAATAGCCATATTAAAGATAAATACTTCACCTATGACCTTTCAATACAAGTCTTAAAAACATTTACAATTGCCTGCAATATACTTATCCCAATAATACCACCCCTGTTAGTTTCTTAGTAGCAAGAGCCTTCCCAAACCTAGGCCAAGCTTGCTGACAGTAAAGAGACAAGATAAAGAAACATTTACTTCAATTGAATGGGCCCTATTATCACAGTGTTCTCTCCCCTTTCTGTGTCTGCACTGGTTATTTCCTAGCTCTTCTTCATCACCAGGAAACCCTGTTATTCACACCTCTTTGGTTTATAACCTTTCAAATTTTAGTACCAGCAAATCTGCATTAAATAGATAGCAAGAGCAGTAAACAAAGAATTAACAGACTCAAATAGAAGTGCCATCTCATTAAGGTTTTCTGTAACCTCTCATTTGAATTGTGCACATCTTGCTCTTAAAACAAATAGCTCTTCACATCACATGGGAAATCCTAGATGCACTTTTAGAGCCATCTTAAACCATGCCACTATCCTCCAAATAGTGCAGTTCAGAGCATATGCCTTTGTACAGACTTTTCAACTATAAGTTATTTCAGTGAGATAACCCCATGGTTAGATACCAAGGTAACCTTAGATAACAGCATTTAGTTTTCAAAATAAATACAAGAATGAAGGCCTACAGTCAGCAACGTGAAGAATATTCTTTCTTTTGAAAGACAAAATCACTACTGAAGGTTCAACAAAGTAGGCACCAGCTACATGTCATTAAAGTAGACACTGCTTGTAGATAGGAAAACAGTAACTCAAACCAAAAATGTTCTCTATCTACAGTAGAACATAAAGGTATGTACATCACTGAGGCCAAAGCTATAAGTCAGTCAATTTTTCACTTGCAATTACATGTATTAACATGAAGTAAACATTGGCACTGTGTCAAAACATTCATTTTACAGAAGTACTATTCTGTTGCTGCTGCTCGGCCAGTGCTTGCTGGAGACGCATTCTTTTCCGTGAATAATGCTGCCAGTGAAGGATCTGTTGTTCATCAATAAATTTAGCACACTGAGCATTTACCAGTTCTTTACGGAAGTGTTCATATTGGAGCAGCTCTAACATATGCAAACACTGAGGATACCTGGATTAAAAATGAGTACATTTAAATACAAACTGATATAGGGTTTTATCCAATTTAATATACTACCACTTTCTGTACTAAAAATCCCATATTCTAAGTTTTATTTTACCTTCTTTATATGCAAGATATTCCTGTTTCGTGAAGAACTGATCCTTATTATAATCCAAATAATTAGTTATGGTAATGTATTCTTTAAGATAACATGGAAAATGGCCCCACAATCTAATTGAGGCCTTTTAAGTTATCCATTTATTTAAATGTTCTATATAGAATATGCTCAGATTTCAATCATGTTGCTGATAATTTCAGTTTGAGAAACAAAGAACCAAATCAACAATTTTCCCCTCACCCTTCTCGGAGTCACTTTTCTAAAGTTAAAAGTCTCAGAGGGTTAGCTATGTTCGTCTAACTGAAAAAAAATTAAACAACGAATGGGTCCCGCAGCACCAAAGTTAGTCATAGATTTCCATTAAAGCTTCTGTCTATCAGCTGTAATAGTTATAGGCTTCAGAATAGGGATGTTAAGAACTAGTTGGATAGTCACTCCCCCCTTGCAGCCCAATAGAGGCAGCAAGAGTGGGGGAGAAGAGGGGAGTACTTCAAAGCGGCAGCGCCGTACACTTTGAATGCTGCAGGGAGCCCAGCATCAGGCTCCTTGTGGCATTTCAAAGCAGCAGCTGACCCTGGGCTTCATGCGGCGCTACCACTTTCAAAGGGACAGTGCTGCCTTATCAACTAATCGAATAGTCGATGCAAAAATGCATTGACTATTCCAGTGTTTCTCAACCAGGGGGACTCGAGAGGAGTCTGGGGGGGTACATCAACACAACTGAAATTTGGAGAAAACTGAATTTTTGTTTTAAGTTTTACAGCGCTTTATTATTTTTGTACTTTTTACACCCAAAAATTTTATTGCCTGCCCGGCTACGATTAAGTTGTTTAAACAAATGTGTTACAATGGTAGAAAAAAATGTTGTGCCCTGAAAACTGTAGGTGCTGGGGGTACTTATAATTTTTTTTAAAAAGGAGTACTTTATTAAAAAAAGGTTGAGAAACACTGGACTATTCGATTAGTCAATTACATGATACTTCACATCCTTACTTCAGAACTTCATGTGTAAATGTAGAACAAGAAAACTTACACAAAATGTGAAACAAGTCTTCCACATTAAGACGTGTGCATAACCATGCTGTACTTTGTCATTTCTTTTGCCTTGCAAAATGACTCTGCAAGTGCTTGTTCTGAGCCGGGCTCAGGCTTTATAGTATCAGTGCGTTCAAGAATATTAATAGAGCCCTACGCATATAGAAACGTCTATCTGTGAATGCAAATATCTCTGGATAGAAATTGGTGGTATCTGCTGAGCCACAGGGCTGTACTCCCAGGAGACGCTGCAACCAAAGGAGAAGAGACGGCTATCAGGGTCAGTGCCCTGTATTGGCAGCTCCTCCCAGCTGTGTCTGTACCATAGCCAGGGTGCTATACAATCCCAGAAAGGAGGAGAGCTGGAGGGGAGAAGGCAGTATGTCTGAAAGCAGCTGCAGGCAAGGGCTGATGGCTCCTGGTAGCAGTGGCACCATGCTCCTCCTCTGACTGCAGCATCTCCTGGAAGTACAGCCCTGCGGCTCAGCGGATACTGATTTCTATCTGCGGCTATCCACAGGTAGACATTTCTATCTGGGCAAGGCTCTAAATAGTAACTCTCAGCAAACAAGGAAGCTTCTGTGGCAAGCTACCAAACCAAAATTTACTTGCATAATTAAGGAAAGGTAAGTGACACCCACGTATCTATTGTATTAAATACAAGGTCTTCTCATGAGGCCTGGACTGTGGATGTTTCACACTTTATAATCCAAATTAGTGGACTGGAAACAAAGTAAATACTGATGTACTATTATATAACACACATCATAAAGGTACCTATTATAACAATAAAGAACTCAAAATAATTTAACACTTACTTTAGGTATTTCGCATATTCAGGTTCTTTCCAGTAAAGTAAATATTTAAGATAGTTTACAAAAGATTTGTCTTTGAAATACCCTCTCTGTGCAAGAACTGAAACCAACAAACAAGAGCATATCAGGTGAATATGCAAGAAAACAAATGATATTTAAAACTTTAGAAATGCATATACATATGAGAGCTTCTTTCTTTGTGCCTCAGTGTATATTATTAAAGAGCACTTATTTTAAAAAAAAATTTAAACCAACTACTGTTACAAATAATTCCCAAGATTCCTATAACTGAAAGATGAAAAATACTCCTTTTTTCAATAGGTTTATTTTGCATATGATAGCATTCTGTTTATAGCAACTTAGTCACCTTTTGTGTGGGTCTATCACACAGCAACAGATTAGAGAACAGACTTTTAAAAACAGAACATTGTGTCTAACATCATATAACTTGGCAAGAAGGTTGAGGGGCACATTCAGTTAGCATCTGCTCCCTATCACTGTGTGATTTGGAAAAGACTGATATCTCACATAACAACCTGGCTGAAGCAGAAGCAGCAGCTAGCTGATGCTTCAGCTGTAAACCTCCATTTGCTCATCTCCAATTGAAGCATGGCTTAAGCCCAGCCTGCTGCCACACCCAGACTTCCCTCCTCCCACCTGCATGCTCCCATGAGAACCGAAAAGTGCAGTCTCTCGGCAAACAGAAGCCACTCCTGGACCATTCCCCCATTCCACGGGGTTGTGCTCTGGCCTCTCTCTTATTATGCTTGCCACCAAAATTAGTCCCGCTTCTCCCCTAGGTACTCTTATGGTGTACTTGCTGAAAAGTGACCGCCTAAAAGCACAACTGTGGCCTTGTACATAACACATCTCTGTTGTCTTTAGACAGACCTTAATTTTGTTATAACAGATTAGGCTTTACGCTCTACAATAAGGATGTGAACGACTAGTCGACTATCTGATAAGCCAATACTTATCGGATAGTTAACACACTAGTCAATTAGTTGCTCCACCTCCCTTGCTGCCTATCAGAAAGAGGCAGCGAGGGGGGGGGGGGGGGGCTCGGGGGAGGGGGGAGGGTGCTTCAAAGCCACAGCACCACATGGAGCCTGGGGCCAGACCCTGGGCTCCATGCAGCACTGCCACTTTGAAATGCCGCATGCAGCCCAGGGCCCAGCTGCGCACAGCGTTTCAAAGCAGCAGGGCCACATGGAGCATGGGGTCAGCGGGGGACTCAGACTGCTGCTATTGTTAGAATTCAGAGGTGAAGGTGCCCTTATCGAGTAATTGAACAGTCGATGCAAACTGCATCGATTATTCAATTAGTTAATTAATCCAAATTTAACATCCCTACACTACAATGTATGTCCAGTAAAGTTTGCTGTACACTTTTCATTACAGCGGGAATACCAGTCAGCCTACTGTGCACTACCCTTGTATCAGTTGTCTGCCTGATACAAATCTGCAGGCGAATATGGACTAGGGAAGCAAGGAGCAAATGCAATCCGCCAACTTGGATGGGGAACGCGTAAGAAAATGGAGGAATATGCTGCTGGGGAGATACACATGGAGTGTCAGAAAAGGAGACTGTGCAGAGAATGCCATGTGGTCCATGGCGGATGTGATGGACTGCATGGCAGCATTCCAGGACTCCTTCCTGGACAGGCACCCCCTGTTGCCCTTGTGGACCAACGCTCACTCCTCTCCAAAGGGCCCTAGAACATGGGGGGAGAAGGGAGGGGCAGGGTCTACTATGACATCTGTGCAGATAACCAGAAAAGGGAAAAAGGGTGCAAATGGACTATTTACCGTTGTAGGGGGAGAAAGGAGGAAACCAGTGTATTATGGGTCTCTGATGACATGTACCCACAACCACCTGCTGTATGGTTTGGTCCCAGTGTACCCTGAAATCACAACCCAGACTGCAAAGCAGCACAAGCACTGTGGGTTGGCTATCCACAGTGCATCACTCTCAAAGTCAAAAGGCAGCCACTCTACTGGGTGAGGCGCTACTTCTAACTGCACTGAATTCTTGTGCACAGTGGGGACACACCTTCAACCTAACAAAATCAGGTGCTTAAAAAAAACAACACTTCAATAAATTCAACCTTATCTCAAAGTGTAGGCATGGCCTTAGTAATTCCAAATACAGATGTAAAATCCTGTTTGACTAACCGATTAAATGTGATGTTTAACTGATTAAAAAGGGGGCGCTTCAACCCGGACCCACTGTGGACAGAGGATGCACCAGCACATCTGGAGCACCCCTGTCCACAGTGGGCCCGTTGGGACAGGAGCAGTCCCCAGCCACAGCAGGTAGGACACTGCTACAGCTCCCATAGGTTAACTGAAACCTGGGTGATGCTTACCAGTCAATTGTTCACATCCCTAATCCTGAAACAGTAGCTAATATTTATTCCTCAGATCCTAGACATTTCACTTTACGTACTTACAATTGAGGTAATTGGGGTTTGCCAGACACTGAACAAATTCCAACTCCAGTTGGAACCGAAGTCGATTTCCAGTATCATCTGATGTCGGGGGAAAAGGTAGGTCAGTATAAATAAACCTCATTTATTCTATACAGATGAAAGCTAGAAAAACATTAATAAGGGTCTGAACTATTTGAAAGGTTTGCTTCTCAATACGAGCCATATAGACAGAAGCACTTCATCTAAGCAATCTTCCCCCACCCCAATCAAATATATTCATTTGGCAAGATAGTTCTTACCAAACCTGAAGTATTGTGTCAAATGAATCAGTGTTTGGCACATCAGTAAATATAGCATCAAACCCATATTTTTACTAGGCTACCTTATAGAAAGATACACAGGTGATGGGGAATCTACCATATGCCCATGTCAGTTATACCAACAATCAGTTATCTTTACTGTTAAAAATGTGTATCTTATTTCAAGTCTGGATTTGCCTAGCTTCAACCACAGGATGTCATCTCTTTTTTTGCTACATCAAAATGCCATTACTATCAGAAATCTCTTTCCCGTGTAGGTAACTGAAGACTGATCAAGTCACTTAATTGTCTCTTGTATAAATTAGATTATTGTGAGAGACTAGGGAAGTTCAAAAGTGCATCTTTCAGGTCCTGAATTATTTTTACAGCTCTTTTCTGACCTGTTTCCAATGAGGCACCAACACCAAACTGGACACAGCAGTGGTATCACTAATGCTGAATACAGAAGTAATATAACCTTTGTACTCCTGTTTCAATATTGCACTGCATATACAAGGACAATATTTGCCCTCTTAGCCATGACTGGTTATCTACCCTGACCCCACAGTCTTTCAGTATCATTGTATTTCAGATCAGTTCTTCCCCACATCTTATTAGTGCAATATTGGGTGCATGTATTTTGTATATTTGTTGATTTTTAAGAAGTCAGATGGGATTAAATAAAGAATCTTAGAGAAGTCCACCTATGTTAGTTATCTTTATCAACAAAATTTATGAACACACAAAAAAAGATCTATTTTCCAGACATGAATAACGAGTCCTGTGCCATCATAAAGGCTAACACATTTATTTGCGCATAAGATTTTGAGGGCTAGAGCCCACTTCACAATATGTATCTGAGGCTCCGTCCCAGGAAAACTTATGCCCAGATAAATGTTAGTCTTTCATGATCCACAGGACTCCTTGCTTTTGCTGAAAGAGACTAACACAGCTCCCCCTCTGAAACTTGTGTCTAGTAGGGATGTAAGCAACTAATCGAGTAGTCACTTCCTCCCCCCACCCCTTGTTGCCTCCATCAGAAAGAGGAAGTAAGGGGGGAGGGGGAGAGAGAGATTGAGGCTCCGTGGGAGGGGCCAGGGGAACAGCTGCAGCGTTCCTCCTTTGAAATGTACAAAGAGTCCCCACTGGGGCTCTGGTACATTTGAAAGCAAAAGCACCACATGGAGTCTGGAGGCAGTGGGGGGGCTCCCCACTTGCCCTGGGAATCCCCGCGGTGGGGCCAGCGGGCTCCATGCAGTGTTTGTCTTTGAAATGTACAAGAGCTCTTGTGTGGCACTTCTGCCTTTGAAATGTAGCAACAGCAAGGCAGGCTCTTGCTACATTTCAAAGCAGAAGTGCCCTTATCAAATAGTCGATGGAAATTCTATTGACTATTTGATTAGTTGATTAATCTAATTTTAACATCCCTAATTTATAGACATGCTGACTCATTAGTTATGTAACTATAATTTTTTTTTTACTATCTATCTCACATTAGGGATGTTAGCATGTATCCGTGTACACAATTAACCAATAAGAGAAGCAGCAGCAAGGGGATGTGGGGAGGTAGATGGGAGCTTGCATTTAAAATCTATTAGGAGGCAAGCAGGCAGCCCAGCTCAGTTCTGGCTTTATCAGAGGCAGCAGTGTGGGGGGACAGGTGGGAGCCAGTGCTCGGGGGGGTGCGGGGGAGGTAGCTGGCTTAAAAGCCTACTCCCCAACAAGCACTAGCTACTGCAGAGCCACCTGCCTCCTCACTCTGCTGCCTCTCTTTTAAGCCAGGTCCCCATGAGCGCCACCCTCCTGCCTGCCTCCCTGCATGTAAACATGCAACTACTAAAATTTTCAGCAGTTACACATTTACACAAATAAACAATTTTTAATTTCCCTATCCTGTATCAGCTTTTTGATGATTCTGAGTGATGACTGGCTAGCCTGTAAAATGGGGAATTAGGGTAAAATAGAGTCAAAGCTCTCCAGAGCCAATAGCTCATGGTGCTGAGAGGGTGGTTAATGCACATTGATCAGTTTCATACCCAACAGTATGCATGCAAGTGATGTAGTCCACATAAGTCAGTGGCACCAACCAGTAGATCAGGATCCATCAATAGATCTTGGAGCCTCTGACAGGTGATCCTTAATGGTTTGGCCAGGAAGCTATCAAGTGCTGGCACTTCAATTGCCCCTGCACCCACTGTCACGCTGCTCCTGTCCTCTCCTTTAGAGCTGCCCCCCTGGAAGCCTCCTGCTTGCTGTGCAGGGTGTGGGAGAGAGATCTTGGAACCTTTGCTCTCTAATGGTAGATCCTGATCTACTGGTTGGTGACCACTGTTCTACTGCTTGCAAACTGTGTTAATTTTGGTTTTTGACTGGTCTGTCCATTTCATAACTTTCATTTTTTACGCTTAATTTAATTCTTTCAGTATTGAGTTCTAAAATGCCTAACCTACTGTGGCTGGAGTTTTTATCCCTGTGATAATTGCTGCTCCTGGAAGTGGCTGGTATGTCCCTGCAGCCCCTGAGACAGGAAGAGCAGGGAGGTCTCCACATGCTGTCCTTGCCTGCGGACCTGTCCTGCATGTCCTATTGATCGATAAGCTGAAAGTTGGGAATCCTTCAACTTACAAACAAGTACATTGTCAGCATGTCTACCTGTGCATTACGGGAGCTCTCGAACATCGGGCAGAAGTAAGCCTGCCTTAACTCCTGGGCTCCACCACCCGGAAGCCATCTCAGTTAAATGGTGCCCAGCCAGAGCCTGCTTCTTGAACCCTTGTCCCACCCCTGAACCACCTCCTACACCCAACCTCTTGCCCCAAACAGGAGTCCCCCTCACCCAAACTCCTTCCCAGAGCATGCACTCTGAAACCCCTCCTGGACCCCAATCTCCCACTCTGGGCTAAGCCTAGAGCCCTTCCCATACTCTGAACCCTTTGGCCCAAGACCAGAGCCTGCACCCCAACCCCCTACCTCAGCATGGTGAAAGTAAGTGAGGGGAGAAAGGGGGATGTAGTGTGCAGGCCTCGGCTTCGGAGAAGGGGTAGAGCAGGGGCAGGGCCTCAGAGAAGAGGTTTGTTGTTTTTATAGATTATCTTTCACAAGGAATAGACCTCTCTGGAATAGAAGTAATTGAAAATGACCTACTTTTTATTGCAAGGGCTCGACTTGAAGTGGAAAATCAGGCTAAGCGCTTACTTGAGCAAGGGGTGGAGACTCAGGTAAAATACATTTTTTCATATCAAAAGCAAAGATTAATATACAGCTTTGAAGCTATTGTGTTATTTACTATAGGATTGTTAAACTGCGAGACCAAACCTGAAAAGTCTTACTTATCTGAGCAATTGTTACTCACATAAGATTCCCACAGAAGTTAACGAGGGCTAATTGCATGAATAAATTTAAACATTAAAGTAAGATATTGCAGGATAAGAGCCTGAAAACTTAAGCAAAAATTAAACTCCTTTTTTGTGTTAAAAAGATTGTTTTGTTAATTGAAAAAATATTGTACTAGTAGATTTACCCAGTGTTTCCCAGGTCGTCTTTATTCAGGTAACTTTTGTTTTTCTTAATTGAATTAATGGTTCTGGGGTGGGACTGGGGATAAGGAGATTCAGTATACAGGCTTCCGCATGGAGAGAGGATAACCCCAGTCCCCTCTCACTGCACCAGCCTAAGGCCAGGTGAGAAGAACCTCTCCATGGCTGCTGCAGTGGGCACACCGGGGGAGGGGTGCATGTCCCCACGGTAGGATAGGTCCAGATTCGTCTGCCTGAGGAATGGAGCAAACTGTGCCCTTTCCCCTGAATATCCCATATGAATAGAGAGGAGAGCTGCAGCCTGCCCTGCCCTCCCTAAAGGGTGCCTGGGGAGTGGGAGGCTCAGGGCTGAGGCAGTCCAGGACTGGGGAGGGATGTGTGGCTCCTACCAGCCTGCTCCTTTCCCCTGCATCATGATTCTGTCCCTTTTCTGTATGGTTTTATGCATCCCTGTATGAATTGGTAGAGGGGAAGCATCAGTTCCCCTCCCCCCCCCACACACAACAAAAGCCTAATCTGCTTTAAGGCAGTGGTCATCAACCAGCAAATCAGGATCTACTGGAAGATCTTGGAGCCTCTGACAGATGATCCTGACAGGCCAGGAAGCTATCAAACGCTGGCACTTCAGTTGCCCCTATACTGACTGTCATGCTGTTCCTGCCCTCTGCCTTGGAGCTGCCCCCCTGGGAGTCTCCTTCTTGCTGTGCAGGTTGTGGGAGGGAGAAAAGGGGAGGTGCTGATTTCAGGATGTCCTTCCTCCCCCCACTCCTGTACCATATCTCCACACAAAGAGAAGGTGATGGAGGGAGCTTGGCAATGCAAATCTCTGTCACTCGCACACATTGTGTGTGTGTCTCTTGTCATTCTCACAAACACAAACTGTCCTTCACTCTCATCTCCTGACTCAACACACACGTGGGGGGTTGTTGTTACTTCTTGTACGGCTTGCAAAGTGGGTTATTTTTGGGTTTTGACTGGTCTGTGCATTTCATAATTTTCATTTCTCTTGTGCTTACATTTTAATTCTTTTAAGTAGTGAGTTCTAAAATACCTAACCTGTCATGGCTGGAGTCATTATCCCTGTGGTAATTGCTGCTCCGGGAAGTGGCTGGTATGTCCCTGCAGCCCCTGAGACAGGAAGAGCAGGGAGGTCTCCACATGCTGTCCTTGCCTGCGGACCTGTCCTGCATGTCCTATTGATCGATAAGAGGGAACCGTGGCCAGTAGAAGCTGTAGGCTCAGTGCTTGTAGATGAGGGGCAGCACATGGCACCATGGAGCCATTGCTGGACATGCCGACTGCTTTCAGAAGTAGTACAGGGCCAGGGCAGAAGTAAGCCTGCCTTAACTCCTGGGCTCCATCACCCAGAAGCTGTCTCAGTTAAACGGTGCTCAGCCAGAGCCTGCTGTCCCAGCCCTGAGCCTCCTCCTGCACCAGATGAGAGTCCCCCTGTACCCAAACTCCTTCCCAGAACTTGCACCCTGAAACCCCTCCTGAACCCCAAACCCCCACCCTGGGCTAAGCCTGGATACCCTCCCACATGCCAAATCCCTTGGCCCAACACTAGAGCCTGCGGCCCAACCCCTTAACCCCGTCTGGTGAAAGGGAGAGAGGATGGGGGAGGAAGGGAGATGAAGTGAGTAGGGCGAGGCCTCGAAGAAAGGGTGGAGCATGGGCAGGGCCTCCGAGGGGGCATGAAGGAAGCAGGGCACGGGTATATGGGTTTGAGGTAGAGCTTACAATTCACTTAAATTGAAAAAAGTGATCTTGTGGTGATCTTTTTAAAAGGTTGGCGACCACCCATATAAGTAGAGCCCCGTCAACCTGCGGGGCTACCCGCTTGGCGTCCAACTCTCTCCGACTGCCCCCACCCAATGGATCCGAGCGCCAGTTTGCAGCTTGGGGAACTGGAGTTGGCCTTCCAAGCAGCACCTCCCGACCCCCGGGCTGCAGTCAAGCGCCTTCCCCGCTCGGCCGCGCTAGTCCAGTGTCAGAGACGCGGAGCCCTAGACGAGCCCAGCGAACTGAACCCGGGGGGAGGCTTGAGTCGGAGATGAAACACCCGACACGCAGCCCTCGCCAGGGAACCGAGGCCCCTGCGCTGCTCGCGGGACCGTTTCCTCACGATCGCGCCAACAGGAAGCGCATTGCTTCCAGGCAGCAGCCTTCGACACACCGGGGGCCACGCGGCGGAGCCGGTGCGCG